TTTTTTTTTTTTTTTTTTTTTTTTGGAAAGATTTAATCGCATCTTTTTTGTTGTTTTTTCTTCTGAAATACTTTGAAAAACTTAATTTTTAGGTATTTCAAAACATTTTAGTTTTTTACATTTTTTCGAAACGATCAGCTCGTTTCAGTTCTTACTGTTTGATAATGTTAAAAATTTGGTAAAAGTTTAGCATAATTAAGGCAGTAAAACAGATAATAAAAAATAAATTGTCAAACGATTGCTATAGTGTTCTTCTGAGTTTACCTTTATAAACTATTTCGAAATGCTGCATTTTCGGCATACCACTTTGTAAATAGTTGCTTAAAAATTACAAGAAAAATTGGTTAAAACAGTTTATTGTAAGGTTGTTTTCATGCATAAATAATTATAGTTAAAAATTTATAGTCATCAAATAGCAATAAGAAATGCCTAAATTGTACGAAAAAAAAAATTGACTAATTTTGTTTTATTTTTTTGCAGTTTAATTTATTGTTTCTTTTGTTCAGAGATTTTGTCTTAGTTCAAAATCCAAATTTTGGAAACTGCTATACCTTTAATCACAATCGAACAGAAAATAAGACGACAATACGTGCCGGACCAATGTATGGTAAGCAATTTGTAAGAATTTGAATAAAAGAACAACAAAAGAAACAAGAAGGAGAAGTAATGAAGAAAGAAATCAAGCAGTTTGGTAAATAGTAAAATCTGGAATATGGAAAAATATAAGTGTTTTTTGAAATTTTTGCTGTTAAAACAACTCTGGTGAATAGAATTGTGCGAAATTTAAAAGAAAGAATGAAGAAAGCTTATTCCACTCATTAATCTCTTTATAACGTTACAATGTAGAAATTTCAGTTGCTTTCTTTTTCTGCAGTTACATTAACAAAGCAATGAAGAAAAAAAAAGTGAAAAAGACAAGATAAGTCTTTTTTGATAAATAATTGGAACAGACATAATAAATTCTTTTTCTATTTGTTCTAATCGTCAGAAGCAACTAAAATTATACGTATCCGCTTTAGATGAAGCAGTGCTGGACTCTTACTTTTTAGCTGTAAAGGTTGATGATTAATTGACTGTTGGTTGACAGTTGATTGTTTATAACAGTAATTAACTTAGGTGTGTTAGTTAAGCCTTTGATACATGTTACTCTCTTCAACAGTTTTGTTGCAGCTATAAGTCGGATTGAATAAGAAGTCGTTGTGTTGGTTACAGACGAAAATATACTACAACTTTTTTGTTGCAGAATTTTTTTTAAACTTTTAAATTTTTTACGACTAACTTCTCAACAATGCTTTCAATATTTCTGTTGTTCGTTTGTTTAAGTTATTCTAATTCAATAAAAACAGTAAACTGTAAACTACAATAATTAGATAAAATTTACAAAAAAAAATCTTTCTTATTTTATTTTATGCTAACTTCTTCTTTCTTGAGAGATGGGTAACAATTAGATGGAATAATTAGTCGATTTACATGGAGTATATTGCTTGGACAAACAGATACGTGTTACTTCTAGCAAAACAGCGTCAATTTGTAGACCATCATTGATAGCAACTGAACCAGAGAAAATATGATTTATGCTATATGATAAGCCAACATTCTGCTACTCTGGTAGCGATAATTTATCAAAAAAAAAGCAAAAAACGACAAAATCGCTGCAAAGTATCATCTCTATGATTATCCTGACTGTAAAAAAGACTGCAAAAAAGTATTTTTATTCTATTCAACTGTTTTACGCAGCAATTTGAGCGACTATTTTAAATAATTTAAAAAAATATGATATTTTATAGTTCAAAAAAGTATTTTTTTTGACTCAAAAATTAAAAAAAATTTCTTTTTTTTTAAATAATTAATTCATGTGTTTGAAAATTAAAGACATTTTTATAAACAATAGACTGACGATTAAAAACTTTATGGCGCTGGTTTAATAAAGCCATTAGTCAAGCAGCGCTGAAAAACCTCGACAAGTGTATTGAGCGTTAGAATGACAATTGTGCTTGAATTACTACTTTGTAAGAACTGATAGACCAGTATGTCCGCAGTTTGTCATTCTTTTGCTGCAAATTTGCTTTAGTTTTTCAAAATTTATAAAAAAGATAACAGTATATTGATGTGTAATTAAAACTGGTCATAACACTTCACCACGGCAACTTTTGAAACAGTAATGGAATAAGAATAACCCCAACGTTTGAGTTGCTTTCCTTGCTTTGAATCACTGTATACTGTGTAAGCTATTGCCAATTTTTTTTCTTCCACTAATTACTGTATTCTTCTTTTAAACAGGTCTTCGAATGTTGCTGTACGTTAATGCATCAGATTATTTGCCGATAACAGAAGCTGTTGGAATAAAGATCACCATACACGATAAGGATGAATACCCGTTCCCTGTAAGATATAGAAAAAGCAGGAAAAATCAATATCTATTTACCACTGCCAATAAGATTTGAATATTTATCTCAAGATCTAGCAACACGACCAATTTAGTGCTGCATTCTTATAAACAGTAGACAAAGACGTTTGTTTCTTTGTCAAGAACTGTACAATTAGATTTATCTAAACAATATTAAATTTTGCGTGCTTTTAAAAGTGAAAGAACAGAATTGCAGCTGTAGTTTTTCAGGATACTTTTGGTTACAATGCACCTACCGGATACATTTCATCGTTTGGTATGAGAATGGTAAAATTTACTAAAGTTCTTATTGTAATTATTACCATCTAAAATATTTATAAAAAATTATCCTTTCAACTGCAGCAGATATTTGATAAATCGACGAAAAGCTTCATAGTACTATGACTGGTTGTTGCAAGAGGCTAGTTCAAAAACGTCTGCTTACACATTTCATAAATCATTCTGTATTATTATGCCAAAAAACGTCCCTAGAACAAATAGAGATAATACGGATTCCAGGCAAAGGTTGCCCGACTACCAGCACCATTCAGTGACTGTGTCACCGAAGAAGAAGATAACAAATATTACGGAAATAAATTTCGCTATTCCACCGAAGTAAGTATACTAAGAGCTACATTTTGTAAATCCGTTTTTTGTTTATTGTTCATGTACACCGTTGGATTTATTTTTACGTAATGTGCTTCTTCCACAGTGTTCAATAAGGTTACTGTTTAAAGGTCTGCTATCGTAGCTGTATTCAAAAGAAATTAATTAACGACTGCGGTTGCGGTGACCCACGATTTCCAATTTTTAATAACGAACATCATTGTCCAGCATTTGATCCTGTTGCCAGTCGGTTATCCGTTTGTTCACACTGTTCTTCTTCTTCCTCTTCCTTTTTTTTAAATTATTTATTACTGTAAAGAATTTTTATCAAAATTTTGCTGTTCAATTAACTTTTAAAAAGCTTAAAAAACACAAAAAAATTCCATTTCTTTCAATTTCACTTCATTTTGTTCTCTTGCTGCTGCTATCTATCAAGTACAGATAAGGTGAAACTTAGGAAAATGTTTACAAGAACAAACCAAAGCATTCAGTTCACATCAAGAAAGTTTACGTTGCCACTGCCAACAACCTTGCTCACAGTCAATCTATACGGTTTCGTATTCGGCCGGTATATGGCCGTCAGAATCTTTAAATATAACACTTGGAAACTGCAAAGATGGTCCAGATATCTGCAACGAACATTATCAGTTAGAATTGCATACTTACAACTGTCCAAATTACTTTTAAACCAACAAGTCTCGTTCGTATCATTCCTTTATTATTTGACAGTTTATATACAAAGTTAAAAAGACAAATAATGCCAACATAAAAACCAATTTTATTTACAGGGAAAATGGAGCAATGATTGAGGTCTTCTACGAGGCGCTTAATTATGAAATTATGACAGAATCCGAAGCATATGGGGTAATTGTTGCTTCTTCATATTATTTGATGTTTAATAGCTATGATTTTTGATTTTTATAATTTTTAAAGTTGTTTGCTTTTTCGCTGACACGTAATTGAAGGATATTTTAAACGCGCCTATGCGGGAAATGTTTCAGTACCAATTTTGCTGGTTCATCCGTCATCCTTAGCGTCGCTAACATTTCGCTTTTAGCTCGTGAAACTGCTATCAGATTTCGGTGGTCAGCTCGGTCTATGGTCTGGTATCTCCTTCATGACCTGTTGCGAATTTGTTTGCCTGTTAATTGAAATTTTGCAAATTGTTTTCAACCATTACTGGAAGCAGTATAGAGGAAGGAAATAATATTCTGGACTTTTGTATACCTCAACAACAAATGGAGCAGGAAAAAAACTGTTTATCAAATGAAGAACTAGGCATGAACAGAACAAGTCTTCAATGATGAAATCACCGTTGGCGGCCGAGCACCAAATGGCAGCTTAAAAATTTATTTTACGCAATAATGTGTATGGAATCTGCCGATTGTTATAGAGACTAAAGAAATACACAACAGTTGTAATATTTAATATTAGAAGAAATTCGAAACCAATTTAAAAATAAAAAGTTTATAGCAAAATGATATCGAGGAAAGGAAAAAGTGGTATACTGCGCTGGAAGTAAATAGTGATTTGACTCAGTTGACTCGAAATTTTTTATCAGTGACAGAAACGAGAGGAAAAGACATATACAGTGTCATAGAATTTGTATCAGTTTTTATGAACGGTCAACAGATTCAAACTGATATAATTTTTAACTCTTTAAGGATTACACATATTCTTCTGTTTTTACAGTAGGTCAAAACAGTACGCAAACATACATATTGCTGACAGTATTTAAATACAAAACAAGAAAAAAAAAGAAACTTTTTAGGAAACACAAAGTATAGTCAAAAAGAAGACCCAGTTACACTGAAAATTTGAATTTATTCTGAACGGAAATCCAATAACAATTTGATACTCATAATACCAACCATTTGCTGTTTAAGCAGTCTAATCGAACTGAGCCATGAGTAAAACTGACTATGCTGAACAATGCAGCTTATAGTTTTTCAACATCCCGCTCCAGTCTCATAGTTTTAGTTTAATAGTCTTACCACTACTTTCACTAGAAGATTATTTGCTATTGTCAGCACAGCATCACCAATAAACACCAGTCGTCAGGGCACAACATGTTGAACTTCTGGTTTATTTATTTCAATTGGCAGTGGTGTACTGGCCGCTAAACATCGTTCACTAGCAAAATCTACTGGCGTATCAATTGAGGTTTGATTACAGCACTGAATATACATACTCGAGCCAAAAGTACTCGAACACGTGGCTCGCTGCGAAAAATTATAAAAATTAAAAGCAGCAAAACTACATCAAACAAAGAAAAAATGAGGTACAAAAACGACAACAACAAAAGTCTTAAGATCAACTATTACCAAGTCATTATTATTGCCGACTTTTTTTACTGTTGACAGTCGATCAAATACAACCAGTTGACCTTGTCGTCTCATGAAATCTTGTCGTGCATAACCATAGATATAAATCATGCACGGTATAAGTACTATGGAAATTAATATAAGCGCTGAAATTTCCCAACGGAGCAGAATAAGGTAACCTGTAATAGACCTGTAATAAATCCGCTGGAATGACCAATCTACCCATATACAACTAATGCTATTTGACTAATTAAAGTGATTCTAAAAAAGGTGTTGTTGTACCATATCAATGTGCTGCAGTAGAAGAACTTTAATCAAGCAATAGGCAATCTAACTTTTGATTGTCGGATTGATCATGTCGGTTTCGTAAATTTTGTAAGCAATACAGAAAAATGCAAATAGATAAAACAGTATTGGTAATGTCGTTCTGCAGGGATATCGCCAAACGTAATCACAGAACGTTCCATACTGAAACTCTTCAGCAGTTATTTTTTGCTTTCTACAAAGTATGTGAAGCCAGAAGTTAAACGAATATCACAAACTTCTACCTGATAATACGCGTACCGTTTCCTACACTCTTGACATCGTTTCTTATGTTTTAACGCTTTGGCAGCACATTCTTGATGAACCGGTTTCCTGAAAAAAGATTTTCATTTTATTCTTATTATACTTATTGTTATACTGCCTCGAGAACTTTAAGAAAGAAAGTGGAACTGGCTTGCATAAGCAGGGTGATATAACAGGTTTAATTAAAAGTTCATCGCTTCTTGAGCCTATACTGAGTTTACAAATACGGCAAGTTGGTAAACCAAGACCTTGATTTATGCTTGTGGCCATCAATTACAACTTTCTACTACCTTAAATAGTTAGGTAAGATAGTATGAAAATAAGCTAAGGCAAAAGCGATAGCAGGAACGGTGTGTATAACAAATCTAAGCAATGCAAAACAACTTTTCTTTTACCTTGACATCTGTATCAACTGCATCTTAAAGCAAGTTATAATAACAAAACAATACTTAGATTATTTCAAAATTTCTAAATATAGTTGTTGAAATTTTTTATTAGAAGTGCGCGCCGAGTTTGCTGAGTTTTATTTAAATGTGATAAACAACTTGAGGTTCAGCATTAACTTAACTAGTTGATCCCAGTTTTCTTACACTTGATGTCGTCTTGTCTATAAACCTATTTGCAAAGTTGAATAATGAAAAAAAAAGTTTTAACTTTTACGCAGTTAGGAGCAGGCAAAAGAGAAGAATTTCTGGTACACATCAAATAAACCAAAACTGCTTAGTTGTCAAGAAATATGAGGATAAATCAGGCGAAAATAACTTTGTTGGAACAGGAACCAACAAAACTAACATATCATTTTAGACTTGAAATCGCATGCAGCCATTAAAATTTAGCACTTATTAAACGTTTAAAAAGTTTTACTCAGGAGCATAAATGGTTTTAAGTGAACAAAAAGCCAACAATGAGCATCAACAGTTTACTGATGTATTTGAGCGCGGTTTAATTAACGACGACAAGTTTCGGCATTCAAATATCTATGTTTCTTCAGGTCTTGAAATGATCAACTTTTTCAGTAATCAAAATCAAATTACTTTTTGGTTTAAAATTGGGAATAAAAAAGAGGGGAGAGAATAATTATTTAGGCAAATCTAAAACTAGAAAATAATTGAAACATTAAGTACAATTTAAAGTACTGCCTATCATTTAACTATTATTGATACGTTCAACTGATAGATCATCATTTTTGGCAACAAATTTAGCTAGCAGATTACCTCAGTGAAGAAATTTTTGGCAAGATTAGCTCTTTTACTAATTAATTTTATGATGTATTTGTAAACATTTTTAAATAAAGTTTGCCACCAGAAAAATTTGCATCTGCAACATGAATGAAGTCGTGAATCGAACAAACCTGTAAAGCCTTAAAAATTGCATAAAGTTTTGGAACGATAACTATAATAGATTTATTACTCTATAGAATCTGAATCATTAATTTGTCTTTAAGTTAACGAGTTTTAGCAGAGAATTATTTTAGTTTTTCGATTCACGGCTTTCAATTATTAATGAGCGATGACGTTGTCTGGTTCAAAATCTAATTCCCAGTTAATCACTTGCTTATTTTCACTGTTCTTCCTCTTGCTCTGCAATATTCCTAATATTTTTCCTAATGTAAGCAAATTTTTATGAATATTTTATTGCCGTATCACTGAAACAATTCCTTAAATTCATTGAAATAGTCTTTTTGACTGCAGATACTATATAACTTTAAAAAAACACTTCAAAGACATTTTTTTCTACTGCTGATACATAATTAAAGAATATGCACGTCGCCGGTACTGGTTCAACATTCAACATCACTTTTGGTAGTTTACTAGTCGCCGCCATCATCACCGTCATTTCAGCTTAGAATTTGGCTGTCAAAACTTTTGTTAGATTTCTGCAACCGACTTGTTCTGTGGTTTGGGTTCCACAATTTTCGTATTCTTTGGCAGCACATAAGGCTTCAGAAAATTCGTCCAACTACATTGGCGAAACAACCTGTTTCGAATGGTCTAATGCGACAAAATTGTTTCAGGTAGCAATTTATTTGCTAATACTCTGAGAATTTCTATGTTGAACATACCGCTTTGTAAGACGGCTTTCAGGAAATTTGTATAGTGTTGTGTAAAAGATCAGAGTACATGCCAGGTATAAAATTAGGTTCTAGAAGAATTTGCAAGTTGTTTTAAAATGAAAAGTTTATAATTAAATAATAAAAACTTAATAAAAAAATGTAGGACAAGAAAAAAGAGGCACACGGTAGTCCAACTCAGCCTACCTCACAACACTTCACCAATAACAAAAACGCGATATAAAAAGGCTCACAAAATACTGTATAAAATCAATCTGTTACTACATTTGACAGCAGAACAATTCTTCTTCTTGCTAAACAAAAAAAAACAAAACAAAAAAAAATTTATAAAACATACATAGAAACTTCTGACAATATTCATATGCAAAAGGAATTTCTGTTAAGCGAAATTTATAATTAAGAAAAAGAATACTGTTTGCCGCTAAACTTCGAAATTAAATTCAGTTTTGAAACAAACCTAATGATGACGGCAAGTCTAAATTGAACAATTTCGGTACTTCATCATCGGACCACCTTTTTAAAACTATGTTATCAATAAAAGCAAAATTACCAAAATTATCACCTTACAATCAGTCAATACTTTGTTCCAAATCTAAACTTTCACCTCTAAAATTAAACCGTTATATACGTTGAAAATCAATTTACATTATCAAAAGAGCACCGTTAGCAAAAGAGGCAAAAGAGCAGTTGTAAAGCCGTAACATATTAAACTTCTGGTTTACCTATCTTGGTCGGTAATGGTGTACTGGCAGCTAAACAGTTTCCACTGGTCAAATTTGTTGGTACATTAATTGAGGTTTGATTAGAGTGATGAACATGCATGCTGCCATTCAATGTACTTGAACAGGTAGTTTGCTGCTGCAAAAAATTGTAGAAATACAAATAGTGCTCTTCTACTAAAAAAAAAACAAAAACTCCAGAAAATAAAGTCTCAAATAAGACGAGAAAACAACGACAAAAAAATTGTATAATTGGTCAGTACCAAGTTATTGTTGTTAATAATTTTTGGTGCTGATATTCGTTCAAGCGCAACTACTTGTCCGTGCTGTTTCACAAAATTTTTCCGCGCAAAACCATAAATATAAAACATACAGGGTATAAGTACTATAGAAACCAGCAAAAGTACTAGAATTTCTGAACGTAGTAGAATGAGGTAATCTGAAACAAATGTATAATGAAGATGGTACCTAAATATCCACTTAAATGTTCATTATTACCAAAATACAACTGATGGTGATTGGTTGGTTCTAACAATGTTAAAAAAAAGTGCTGTTGTGCGGAATCAATGTGGTGCAGGAGGAAAACTTTAATTAAGCAAATATTAAACTAACTTTTAAATGACGGATTGATCATATCGGTCTCGTAAATTTTGTGAACAATACAGACAAATGCAAATAGATAGAACAGTATCGGTAATGTCGTTCTGCAGGGATATCGCCAAACGTAATCACAGAACGTTCCATACTAAAACTGTTTAGCAGTTACTTTTCGCTTTCTACAAGTATGTAAAGCTAAAAGTTAAACGAATATCACAAACTTCTACCTGATAATACGCGTACCGTTTCCTACACTCCTGACAACGTTTCTTATCTCTTAACACATCGGCAGCACATCCTCGATGAACTGGCTTTCTAGAAGAAGATTTCTAATTTAGCTTATAATATTTATTCCCAAAGTGCTCAACAGATTTTAACAAACAAAAAATGAGAAAAAACTAACTTGCACAAACACGGTGACATGATAGGTCTGATTGAATGATCATCTGTTCGTGCACCGATACTGATTTTACATATACTGCAAGTTGCTGAATCCGTGGTCGACATTTCCTTTTTAAAAAGCTGAGACACCTTGACTATTATTATCTTAGAAAAAGACCTTAACTTTTAGAGATTAAAAATTTTAAAAACTGTAACTAATTCAACTAAATTTTATTCAATACACCTTAGAACAGTTGGTGATTAGTAAAAAAAGCATCACCACTTAAAGTTTACGGTTTATTAGAACTTAACACAGTCGTCCAAAACGTAATTATTTAGTAATTTCAGTTTAAAGTTTCAATCTCTTTGAAATCTTAGCAATTTAAAGAGCAGATATAAACGATAAAAACGCCAGAAATTGATGTTTTAATTGGTTTGTTTGTTTAAAAATTCCATTAATTACCAGATTTGCTGCCTGACTCATTTTTGGCATTGTTATCGACGCTGTATTCTGTGGTTCAGAGTTTAAGCCTATACATAAAAAATGCGATAGTTATGCGAAAACAAATATAAATTAACAGTTTTGACACTAAGACGTTAACATGGTAAATAGAATCGAATATACAGTTTAAATACAACAGAAACAGTTTTGAAAAAAGTACAAAACGTTTAGCACTACAGAAATAAAATGACAAAAATTTGTTACTTGAATTTGCCAAATGACCAATGCAACTAATGAAGACGATAAATTTATTTTCACATTAAACTGATGAGTTACGCTTATACCACCAGTAAAGATCAACCAAAATACAAGTGACAAAAAAAAATTCCTTCAACAAAAAACGCCAAATAAATTAGTTAATCTAAACGAACTTTAAGTGTAACAAAGAAGTGTTACATTTTAGGTGAAGTAGAGTACCATTTTTGGGCGATACGATGACACTTTAGAAAATTTAAAAAATTAACAATAAATGTTTACAGTGCAGACAGTTAAATATTACCGTTGACTATTTTTAAATTATTATAACTTTGCTGAAAATTGAAAAACATTGAATCTCAAGCTTTAATAAACAGCTTAAAAGAGTTGTTAATTTGTATCATTGAACTAATCAAGGATACAACTGTGCTCTTTGACTGTATCTGAGATATGAATAAATTTGTGAACTGTTTATGACAAATATGTATTATACCGCCCAACAAATTGGCCTGGCATTGTTTTTCAACAAAAAAAAAAAATGTGGCATAGTCAAATCAATTTCTTTAAATGTTATTTTTGTAAATAATAACTGCACTAAATAAATAAATGTTTTAGCCTTCAAAAATTGTTTTTAACAGTAAAACATGTAAGGCTATCACTGTACAGTGTCAAACGAAAAAATGTGAAAAAATTTATAGGTAATATTAGCAGCAAAAAGTTTATAATAGTTTTAAATACAAGTCATCGACCAAGTCAACTGTCGGTTTCAATTGCATTACCAAAAACCTTAAGTATAAAAGGAAAATGCGCTAAAAAATGCCACAATATAAGTACAGCAAGCTAATGGTCAGATAGATTTGTACCAGTGAATAAATCTTTTTGACACATTTATTCATCAACGTACCAATTTAATAGCAATTCAACGTCAAAAAATCAATACTCTTTACCACTTTTTTTTTAATTGTTTTATACATTCGTAGCTTTTATACATTCGTAAGTTCCGATGTTTATCTGATAGCTGAAAATGTCCTGGAGAATCAATGTCAGCCAGATGGTAAACTGTAGGCCTAAAAAAGTTTGTAATAAGGATCAAGCATATTCTGAGTCAGGAAGATGCGAAGACAGCCTCTATATGTATACTGTTGCTGTGGTTCTGCTGCCAAATTACTATTGATCATCTGTAGCTGACGTACGCGAACAGTCTGAATCATTGCTAATCGTCCCATTGGTTACCTGAATTTACAAACGACCAGCATTTCATTGTTTAAAAACCTCTCTGTTGCAGAACAAAATTTTTACAACTTTAATTAAAAGTTTAACCAGTAAATTCCAAATAAGTTCAAATTAAAACAACAAAAACTTACTAAATAAGGCTAAAAACAAGGTAAAAATTTTTAATATCAAAGTTTTGATAGCCAATAATTATTTCTCAAAATTTTTTGCATTTGTAAACAATCGAAAGCAATAGTCAGATCATAATTTTCCAAAAATTTTTGTCGATTATGCTCACAGAAATAGATCAGCCAACAGATAAACAGCAATGAAAAAGACCAAAATACAAACTGTACCCATTGCAAAAACTGTGGAATTTCTAAAACGGCAGCGATAACAACGACTGCAACGAAAAAAAACAGCAACCTAATTAATAGATATTAAATTCTGTGGTTTTCAGTTTCTTAGAATATGAAAATGAAAAATAAATAAATAAAACTTACTCAACTTTTCTGTGTGCTAATCTTTGCAGTAAAAGGCATCTAAATTTTCATCAAAATTTCACTTTGTATTATTTGAATAAACCGTTTTGCTAATTCTATCCAAACATCTTCTTTTAGCATTGTTGTCTTCTGTAAAAGTTGTGTACAACTAATCGCTCGCCAGTTAAAATTAATTTTTTAATTTTCCCTTTATGGCATATTCAACGCGGCAGCAAATATGTAGAAATAAACTTTACTTAGATTAGTGGTCGTCGAGTACATCACCGCTGTCATTTTGAAATAATAAGCGAAGCACGAAATTAAGACAAAAACGATACCAGGAAAATCAAATATACCAAATCTAAGTCAGTACAGGTTAACCTGTTCTTTATCTCATTGTCTACATTGGCACATCTTACACATCTTAAAACCTTAAAACAAGTTACTATGACAAAAAACACTCGAAATTCTTTAAGACTTCACTGTAGTTTTTAAAATTAATTTACTAAATACTGTTTCACTTAAATTTAATAAACAACCTGAGATTCATACTGACTTAACAAGTTGGTCGCAGTCTTTTCACGCTTGATATCGTCTTG